CTTTAGGAGGCGCTGCTGTTTCTTGGAAGTCCACAAAACAAACATGCATCGCATGATCCACAATGGAATCCGAGTTCATTGCTTTGGATAAAGCAGGAGAAGAAGCAGAATGGCTTCGTTACTTCTTAGAAGACATTCCAATGTGGCCAAAACCTGTGTCAGTTATTTGCATTCATTGTGATAGTCAATCTGCAAACTGTGTCTGGGAATATACTGTGTGAGTTCTATTGTCTTGGTTTACACAAACGGCTGAACAGTTCAAGACATCATGTTCACTGGTTAGCTAGTAAATCCGATAGTGTCTCACAGGGAAAGGTTCAAAGCCAAAAGCTACCTATCCTTTGCAGAATATTACCAATTTATGTACTCTCTGTATTTACATTATGTTGTTACATTTTCTCTCTGTCAATTTCATTCATGTGGGGGATTGTTGGAAAATTTATAAAGAGATAGTTATGAATTGAAATAGACCTCATTTTGAATGAAAGGGTGTAAACTTTCATGGTGTCTTTTTGTTTTATAGAAAGAGTCAAACCTCCATTTGAATGAAAAGGTGCAAACCTTTCATGGTATCTCTTTATTTTAAATGAAGGGTTATGTCTCTTCTTCATACCTTTTCTATTCAAATTGAATAGGTGCCAACAAAGCCTATATAAAGGCAGCCCCATTCCAATTTTGATTGATTCTGAAAATTCATTTTCCTTGCCTTCATTTTGCTCTCTTGCGTTCTTTATTCTTCATATTATTTTAGAAAAAATTTCAGAGAGTTATAGAACACAAGGTTCTAGTTCGCCGGACAAATTTGTTTGAAGTGCTACTACAAATTTGTAAATATCATTGTATCTTGGGAGATAGACGCCACATAACCGTAAGCACCGTAGCGGGGCAAATCTGTCTTAAGGACAGAGTGTCACACACTCGACTTAGTCTTTTGACTTTTGAATTCTGTTCAACAAAATAAATTCTGTAAGTTTTATTTTTTTTGTTTGGCTTTGATTCTATTTATTTTATTTACACAGAAGATTGTTCCAATAGTATGAACATTTACATTAATATGAGTTTAATTTTTTTTAAAGATAATTGCATGTTAATTGTAAACTATGATATTCATATTGTATTTTGATACGATTTTTATTTTTTTTAAGATAGTTGTATGTTTATTATTTATTGTAAACATTGACATTATACTTCAGTATATGTTTTGTTTTTTCGAAAGTTAGTTATATATTTATTGTTTATCGTAAACATTCACATTATTTTAGTTTTTGTTTAGATTTTTTATTGCTTTATTTTTAAATTTTCACATTATAAAAAAGTGTGAAAGCATGATATTTATTAGCTTTCATAATTTTAAAAAAGTAAGATTTTAAATAGGATATTTATTAATTTTCATGATTTTCTCTTAATATATAAATTCTAATTCAAATGGGGTAAGTATTCAAACTAAAGTGATTTTCTCTTAAAATACAGATTTAATTTCTATTTTTTATGCTAAATCTAAAATTGAGGTTTGGTCTTTTGAATAGCTGTAGAACTAAATGAGTTATTAAAAATTAAATTAAATTAATTGATATATAAATATTAGAAATAAGATTTTTTTTAAAAAAACTCCCTAATTTATTTGGTGAGATTTACAAATTAATGAATTAATAAAACTGGCTCACATCATGAAAATTATATTCTTAAATCAAAAAATGGACCGGAGACAGTTCTATTTTTGTTTATTAATGTCAACTCACTAATTATGTGTAATAAAAAAAAATATAATAAAATTTTCATTCATACCATATCCCAATAATTCACAACGCCCCGTTTGGTTCATCTTTATTATCCTATGATGAAGAGTGAAGAAGAATGTTCGAAAACAAACGTGCATGCCCAAAAGATTGCCCATTCCAGTCAAGGGCATTTCGGTCATTACACACCACACTCCACCTTCCTTCTCATCTCACTGTCTCACAATTCCCGTCTCTATATCAAAAAAACCCAAACCAAAAACACAGTCATCACAACTAAAAAAAATATTTTCTCTTTCTTTCTCGCGAACCAAACAGAGAAATGAAGAACCGCCATTTTTCTCCCGAGAAGAAATGGTCCATAATCGCCGCCCTCTCCGGCCTAGTCGGCGGCGTACTTCTCATCTCCACTTTCCTCCGAGTCACCGACAATCCAATCACCTGTAATCTACGGCGATCTACTCCAATCGAGCCGATCCAACTCAACGCGATTCTTCACTACGCCACATCTCACATCGTCCCTCAACAATCTCTGGCCGAGATCAGAGTCTCCTTCGATGTCCTCCGATCTCTCTCCCCCTGCAATTTCCTCGTCTTCGGACTCGGCCACGATTCTCTGATGTGGGCCTCATTCAACGCCGGTGGGACCACGCTTTTCCTCGAAGAAGACCCCAAATGGATCCAAACCATTCTCAAGAACGCTCCGGATCTGAGAGCCCACCACGTCAAGTATCGAACCCAACTCTCCGAATCCGACGATCTTCTCAAATCGTACCGATCCGAACCGGACTGTTCGCCGATTAAATCGTTTGTAAAAAACAATGACAAGTGCAAGTTAGCATTGGTGGGTTTGCCTGATGAGGTGTACGATAAGGAGTGGGATTTGATCATGATTGATGCGCCGAGGGGTTTTTTTGCCCAGGCGCCGGGGAGGATGGCGGCGATTTACTCGGCGGCTGTGATGGCGAGGAATAGGAAAAGATCTGGTGTGACGCATGTGTTTTTGCACGATGTTGATCGGAGGGTGGAGAAGGCTTATGCGGAGGAGTTTTTGTGTAGAAAGAATTTGGTGAAGGGTGTGGGGAGGCTTTGGCATTTCGAGTTACCGCCTGTTGCTAACTTCAGCGGTGGGAGTGGCGGCGGTTCTGGGTTTTGCTAGGGTGAGCCGGGCGGTGGGTGTTCTAGTCTGCGCCTAATGGTGTATTGTGTATTTTATTTTAAGAAAATATTTGGTAGTTTAAAATTTTATGGTTCAAATGGCTTAAATCTGTCAAAATGACGTCGTTTTACACTTAAAATCTGTCAAAACGGCATCGTTTTAAATGATTTGAACCATTTAAATCATAAAATTTTAAGCTACCTATCATTGTTGTTTATTTTATTTTATTGGATTATCTTCATTAACACATTTGTTTTGTTTTGTTTTGTTTTTTTTTTTAAGAAACGCTTTGGTTGTTTTTTCGAATATATTCCATCTAGAGAGAGAGGGTGATAGGAAATAGGAATTGTCTGGTTCACACTCACGACGGTAGTGTTTTGTTTTTTTGTGTTTTTTTTTTTAAGTAAATTACAAGCCACTTTTTAAGATCATCTTCAATGGTTCATCAAATCTATTATTAAATTTAAATTTAATGAATAAAGTTATTTTTTTCTCTTCCAATGGTTCATTAAATTTAGAATTTTATTTATTTTTCATCAAATTGAGAATTAATGTATCTTTCATCAAATCACTGTTTATTATCGGTAGATTTTCACCATCCAATGTCTCTCTAAATGACAACTTCAAGATAAAATTTTGGGAAAAAAATTACACTGGCCAGGTCAACCGGTGATTTGATGAAACTATAAAACCCTCTGTTAGAGAATTTGATATCAAAAAGAAGTTATACTCAAATTTTTATTCAAATTTAATGAAAAAATTGATATATTGTTAGAAATACCCTAAGGTGGGAAAAAAAATATCAATTCCGTCTCATTTATTAGTTCTTTTTTTCATTTTAGTCCATTTCAAAAAGTTTATGTACTTTCTATTTTTGGTTATTAAATTTTGTTAAATTTTAAAAGTTATCACCATAAATTGTTATAAACATATTTTAAAATTCAAATAGAAGGATAATGATGAAAAAAATATTTTAAAATTTAAATTAAAATGTAATAATTACATTTTTTTTAATTAAAAAAAAAAACAAAAGAAGCTACCACTGAATGTTTTGAAAAGTTAGTAAAAAGTTGATTTTTTTGATTTTTTTAGTCTATTTTAACTTTTTGTAAATAAAAAATATAAGAAGTGATATCATCCAAAATAGATAAAAAATTAAAAATTAACTTTTTATCTTCTTCCCAAAAGATCCTTAAAGATTTAGAGAAGAAACCCAATTACAAGGAAGATTGCAGGTCTCCTTAATAATTTGAAATTATTTTTTTTATTATTTTTTTTATAATAATTAGTGGCTTGTTTCTAGTTTGAACAAAGACCAGAGTGTGTTGTGGGGGCATCCGTAGGCCTACTATAGAACTTATATTAATAATTTGAATTCTTCAATATGTAAAGGTCGTTGAATACTTTATTTCTGTAAAAAAATTATATTAATTAGATACCGTTAGTCACTTGATATGATTAAATTTTTGTTAATGGTAATTATAATTTTAAAAATAACTTGTTCACGTAAATGTGATCTGACCAAGTGTCTATTGATATCCAATCAATGTGATTTTTTACAAAGATAAAGTATTCGATGGACTCTATATATTAACGGTTTAAATCGTTGAGACAGATCCAAAATGAGCCATAATGGGTTGGACTGGACCATCTAATTGGGCTAACCAATTGAAGACCGTCCAAATCCTTTTCTATAATGAATAAACAAATTGGGACGGAAAGAATTCAAAAGTTTCTATAAATTTTATATAATTATATTGTAATTCCTTACAATTTTAATTTACCTTATGTTTATTTTTTTATTATTATTATAAATACATTAATCATATTATGAAAGAATGATGCTGTTATTTATTTTTTTTACATGTGAAATGTATTTTTTATTTTTTCAGGTGTACTATTTTTTTATATATATACATAAGGCGCACTATTTTAGTTTTGATTTGGAAAAAATTTAAAATAATTTAAATAAGTATATTTTTTATTTTTTATAAAAATATGTGTAAAAAAAAAATGATGACTTAAAAAAATAATAAATATATTAATATAAGGGATGTCAAATAATGCCTTAGTCTTACTAGAAGAACGATCATGTAATATTTTTTCAATTTATTTATTTATTTATTTATTTTTTATGATTTTTTTTTTCCTTTATTAAGCCTCTTTTGGGAAAAGTCATATTCTAACTTTTAACATATTTTGGATCACATTCAGTGTGTTTGATTTCAGTTTTCTCGAAATTAAGTTTTTTATTTTTCATATTTTTTTGTTTTTAGTGAATATTTTTAAAAATTTAAATAATTTTTTTATTTTTTTAAATGCACCTTACTTAGATATATCTGAATATAAAATATTTATAAAAAAATATTTCAAAAATTAATAAATACACAAAAATAAGAAAAATGTACTAAATTTTAACTTTTTTTGTATTTTTGGTATTTAGTGAGTATTTTAAAGATTTTTTTTCAAAAATATTATATTTTTTAAGTGTATATATATTAGGTGCGTCTAAAAATTAAAAAAAAAATCATTAAAAACAAAAAAAAAATGAAAAATAAATGGACAAATTACAAATACCCCCTCGAGGTTTGATAAAAATATAAATTTCTCCTGAGGTTTGAGAAATTACAAGTTGTCCCCTGAGGGTCAAATTTTCATAACAAATTGGGAGAAATTAGGGAGAATCTGTATGAAAATAAAAATCTCAGATGAAAAATAAATGGACAAATTACAAATACCCCCCTCGAGGTTTGATAAAAATATAAATTTCTCCTGAGGTTTGAGAAATTACAAGTTGTCCCCTGAGGGTCAAATTTTCATAACAAATTGGGAGAAATTAGGGAGAATCTGTATGAAAATAAAAATCTCAGGGGACAATTTGTTATGAAAATATAAACCTCAGGGGGCGGGATGTAATTTCTGAAATCTCAGGAAAAAATCTATATTTTTACCAAATCTCGAGGGGAGTGTTTGTAATTTGCCCAAAATAAAAAATTAAAATTTTTTGAAAAATATTTTCTGTAAATCAAAACCAAACAAACTAATTATCTCTCTGTTTTTATATATCTTTTTAAAAAAAATTTAAAAATTAAAAATTATCTTTTAATCAACTTTATAAAACAACCTTATTCGTACAAGAGGGTGTACCTATGTCTTTTCAAAATTTTATGAGGGGTGAGAGGAGTTGTGTTTTTTTTTTTTTTTTTTTTTTGAATAATTATTTTATTTACATATTTTTTTAACCATGACCGTTAGGTGAACTGAAATGGTATTAGAGGCAGATACAATGATTGATCAGCTCTTTAGATCCGTTGTCAAATCATAATAACGATTTCATATCTGTAAATAATAGTACGTGCCTGTTTGACAGAACTTAAAAGCAGTTTATTTTAATTTTCAGCTTAATTTAAGTTATTTTGATGTGTTTAGTTTAGCTTATAACTTATAGCTTTTTGGAAGTCAGAAATCAACTTATTCTTTGAATGGGGCAGGAGATGCTTAATTTATAAGTCAGAAATCAGCTTATGTTCATAGTTATAAATTATAAGCTGTTTAGGCATAAGTTATAAGCACTTTCCCACAGCTCTACCAAACAGGGCCTATATAAATTAAAATTTTATATAGAATGATATTGTTTAATTTGCACATTTACTTTTAAAATAAAATAATTATGATAACCGATTTGGGCAAATTACATATACTGATTTGGCTAAATTATAGATATTCCTCGGAGATTTCGGAAATTACATCCCGCCCCTTAAGGTTTGCATTTTCATAACAATTTACCCTCTGAGGTTTAAATTTCATAACAAATTACCCCTTAATTTGTTATGCAAATATGGCATTCAGGGAAGAATTTATAATTTCTCAAATCTCAGGGGGATATTTATAATTTAGTCAAACCTCGAGGGGGTATATGTAATTTGCCCTAACAATTTTTATTTATAAAAGTAACATTTAGTGTGTTTGGTTTGAATTTTTTTGATTAAATTTTTTTAAACTTGAGTTTTTTTATTTTCGTGTTTTTTGTTTTTAGTGAATATTTTTAAAATTTTAAACATTTTTTTTTATTTTTTTAGATGCACCTTACTTATTTAGTTATATTTAAAAAATAAAAAAATGTGAAAAAATATTTTAAAAAATTAATAAATACATAAAAATATAAAAAAAATGTATTGAATTCTCATTTTTTTTTAATATTTTTGGTATTTAGTGTATTTTTTCACAAATTTTTTACTTTTTAGGTATATTTATGTTAGGTATGTCTAAAAAGTAAAAAAAAAATGTTTAAAATATTAAAAAAGTTCAGTAAAAACAAAAAAAAAATGCAAAATAAGAAAGTAAAATTTTTTGAAAAGTGTTTTTGAAAAAATGGAACCAAAAAAAGTGATTGTAACCATATTTTTGTGATCTTTTTCTATAATTTTTCTTTGCAAATCGATTTTTTCATTAAAAATATATACTAAATGCTGAAAAATATTTTGAACATTGTTTAATTTTAAAATTTGTATGAAAAATAATTTAGAAGTGTTGAAAATGTTAAAAAAAAAGGTTTTGCCATAAAATTAATAAAATGTATAATATTTTTTTTATTTTTTATTATGATTTTCTTGCCTAGCTTGTTAGCCAAATTCTTTTTACTTTTTATTTTTTAACAACAAACAGTCATCTACGTCCAACAGTTTTGTCCACAATATGAAATACAAATTAATCCTTACTATGATCTTTATTGTGCCAAATTTTAATTTATTTTATAATTTTTAATTATAATTTTTTTTTTCTTCTAAATACACTACATTTTTGTTTATTGTATGTCACGGTGAAATCCAAATGTCTTGAATAAATTAAATTATAATGAGAGTAACACATGAAAATATACATTTACAAATTTATCATTGGATTTTGTGATTGTTTTATGTAACTGTCTAGTTGGATATTTGTGTTTCGAAAAAAATCTGTAACATTTTTTTTGACAGTGTCATATTTTGATAAAATCAAACACTACACTACATGTATGGCATCTCTAACGGTGTATAAATTTTTTCATTAAATTTGAGTAAATTTTTTTTTTGATATCATGTGTTTTAATGGAGGATTTTGTAGCTTTATCAAATCATTGGCCGATCGGATAGATGACTGGCCGGTATAATTTTTTCACAAATATTTACCTTGAGGTGGTCATCTGAGAGGACATCTGGGGGTGAAAATCCAATGACAACAAACAGTGATTTAATGAAATGCATATTGGT